GAAGTACTTCCTTTAGCATTTCTTGTAGGACAGGCCTACTGTTGATGAAGTCTCTCAGCTTTTGTCTGGGAAAGTCTTTATTTCTCCTTCATGTTTGAAGGGTATTTTCACAAGATCTACTATTTGAGGGTAAAAGTTTTTTTTCCTTCAGCATTTTAAATATGTCATGCCACTCTCTTCTGGCATGTAAGGTTTACACTGAAGAGTTGCTGCCAAACATATTGGAGCTCCATTGTATGTTATTTGTTTCTTTTCTCTTGCTGCTTTTAGGATCCTTTCTTTTTCCTTGACCTTTGAGAACTTGATTATTAAATGCCTTGAAGTCGTCTACTTCGGGTTAGATCTTCTTGATGTTCTATAACCTTCTTGTACTTGGATATTGATATCATTCTCTAGGTTTCTGGAGGTTCTGTGTTATTATCCCTTTGGTTTTTGTTAGTTTTTGACATGGAGTCTCACTCTGTTGCCCAGGCTGGTGTGCAGTGGCACAGCCTTGGCTTAAAGTAACCTCTACCTCCTTGGTTCAAGCAATTCTCCTGCATCAGCCTCCCAAATTATCTCGGGTTACAGGCACCCACCACCACATCTGGCTAATTTTTATATTTTTAGTAGAGACAGGGTTTCACCATGTTGGCCAGGCTGTGTTATTTTCCCTTTGAATAAACTTTCTACTTCCATCTCTACCTCCCCCTTAAAGTCAATAACTCTTAGACTTACCCTTTTGAAGCTATTTAGATCCCATAGGTGTGCTTCATTGTTTTTTATTCTTTTTTCTTTTGTCTCCTCTGACTTCATAGTTCCAAATAGTCTGTCTTTTTTTTTCTTTCGTCTTTTTACCCAAGAGGTAAAGGAAAATAGTCTGTCTTTAAGCTCACTAATTCTTCTGTTTGATCAATTCTGCTATTAAAGGACTCTTATGCATTCTTCCATATTCCAATTGCATTTTTTAGCACCAGAATTTCTGCTTTTTAATTATTTCAATCTCTTTGTTAAATTTATCTAATAGTATTCTGAATTTCTTCTCTGTGTTATCTTGAATTCATTTGCATTTCCTCAACATAGCTATTTTGAATTCTCTGTCTGAAAGATTACATATCTGTTTCTCCAGGATTGCCCTGATACCTTATTTAGTTAATTTGGTGAGGTCATGTTTTCCTAGATGGTATTAACGCTAGTATTCTTCAGTGTTTGGGCACTGAAGAGTTAGGTATTTAGTGTAGTCTTCACTGTCTGGGCTTATTTGTAGCCATCCTTCTTGGAAAGGCTTTCCAGATATTTGTAAGAACTTGAGTGGTGTGATCCAAGCTGTATCTGCTTTAGGGGGCACCCCAAGCCCAGTAATGCTGTGGTTCTTGTACACTTGTCCAGGTACCACCTTGATGGTCTTGGACAAGATCTGGAACAATTCTCTTGATTACCAGACAGAGACTCTTGTTCTCTTCCCTTACTGTCTCCCAAACAAAGTCTCTCTGTTTTGAGCCACCCAAAGTTTGTGGTAGAGTGACACAAGCACCCCTATGGCTTCCACCACTGTGACTGCATTGGGTCAGACATGAAGCTATAACAGCACTGGGTCTTGCCAAGGCCTGCTATAACCACTTCCTGGCTACTGCCATTGTTTCCTCAAGGCCCTAGGGCTCTACAATCAGCAGGTGGCAAGGCCAGCCAGGCTTGTATCCTTCTCTTCAGGGTGGTGAGGTCCCCCAGGCCCCAGGTGAGTCCTTAGTGCCCTCTGGGAATCAGGGATTAGAGTCAAAAACTTTAGAAGTCTACTTGGTGTTCTATTGCACTGCAGCTGAGCTGGCATTCAAACTACAGGATCCAGTCCTTCCCACTCTTCCTTCCCTTTCCAAAGGCAGAGAAGCCTTATCCTGTAGCCACCGCCACCCCAGGCCATGAAGAGTATTGCCAAACTACCAATGACATTCTCTTAAGGACCAAGGGCTCTTAAGTCAGCTTATGGTGAATGCTGCCTCGCCTGGTACTCATCCTTCAGGGCAGTGGGCTCCCCTCTGGGCCAGGGCAGGTCCAGAACTGCCAATACAAGAGTCAAGTTCTAGAATTGGAGACACCAAGAGTCTCCCTTGGTGCTCTAACCTGCTGTGACCATGCTGGTATCTAAGGTTCAAGGCAATGTCCCCATTGCTTTTCCCTTTCAAGCAAAAGGAGTTTTCCCCCATAGCTACCCCAGCTGGTAATATGCTGAGTCTCACCTGAAACCTGCAAGTCACACAGGCTCACCCAAGGCCCTCAATGTAGTAGCTAGGTATTGCTGCTGATTATTTAGAGCCCAAGGGCTCTTCAGTTAGCAGGTGATGAATGTTGCCAGGACTGGGTATTTTCCTTCAAGGCAGCAGGTTCCCTTCTGGCCCAGGGTGTGTCTAGAAATGTCACTTGGGAGCTAGAACCTGGAATGAGGGCCTCATGACTCTGACTGTTGCTCTGTCCTGCCAAGGCTGAGATGGTATCCAAGATGCAAGACAAAGTCCTCCCCACTCTTCACTCTCCTCAAGGGAAAGGAAGGGGTCTCCTTTGAAGCAATGAGCTGTGTGGCTTCAGGTTCTTTGCAGGGTCGGGGTCAGGGGATGATGCCAGTATTCCCTTGGCTGCCCCAGCTGGTGTCTCAGTGTGTCATGTGCCCCTCAGTCCACTGTCTCTGGGCCTAGTTGAGCACTAGGATTTGCCTAAGAGTTACAGTCCTTATGGCCTAGACTGCCTTTCAAGCTTACCTGGAGGCACAGCGTACTATAGCCCTCGGTGGCAAGATGTATAGGAACTCAAGTTCTGACTACTGGGATTAGCAATTCTCCTGTGTCTAGGGCTGGGTTAAATGCTCCCTCTGTGGGTGGGGATCAGCTGAGTTTGGTTCAGTTTTCCTCACTGACCCAACAGGACAGCACTAAGTTCAATGCCTCACAATTGCTGTGTTTTCCCTCCCCCAGTGCCCGGAGAGGCTCTCTGCACCATGATGGAGGGGTGGCATTGCCAATTCAGGACTGTTGTTTCTAGCTCTTCAGTGACTCAGCCACATGAAGTTAAATCTAGGTATGATGAGTGCTCATCTGATTTTTGGTTCCTATGAAGGTGTTTTTTCTATGTAGATAGTTGTTAACTTGGTGTTATTGGGTGGGGGACAATGGGTGGAGCCTTCTGTTCCACCATCTTGCTCCGTCTCCTCCAGTTATCTGTGTTTTGCACACATATCTGCTTAGTAAGTCATAGATTTGAAGCTTCTGATTTAAACTTAAATGTGTCTGAGAATATTTATCCTTAGGACACTTATGTGTGCATTTGTATGTTATTGCTATAATAACTGCCTCATGGTGATTGAAAAACGTAAAACAAGGAGGGGTTAAGCACAGGGGTGAGTTAGAAAAGTACTGAAGGATTTATAGTTAGTAGGGAGGCTTATCAGTGGGATATGTCAAGCACATTAAGTTGTTCCTGAGTTTGCAAATATTTTTCTCTGTGATTAGGCCATCTGTGTTTGCTAATTGGGGCCCATCAAAGTTAGGCTTCTACCCTCCCACAGGAACTGGGAGTTGGGGGTGCTATCTTTGATGATTATATATCAAAGGGATAGCTCCCAGGTCCTTGAGGAAGACATTCCTGAGTTGTAAAACCGTCAAGAAGCTTTTTATAAAAACACCTCTCAAAGGAGGCAGAGGAAGAACTTACAATTCCAAGTTTTCTGAAACAAATGCTCTAAGAAACAAGAAAACAAGTAGTCAGGGCCTACAGTTAGTAAGAAGCCCATCTAAAGTTCAGTCATGCTGAGGAGAACGTCAATGCCATCTCAGTCATAAAGTTATGGTAAATGTTGATGTTTAAAAAGCTATACATCAGTAGGTCAGTTTTAAACAAATATTAATGTTAGATGTTTACAGCCCTAACTTAGAATCCCCCTCTCCTTGCCCCAACTTCCTCCCAATTACCCAGTGCATCAGGATACCATGGGATGTCAGTGGTGGTGACTAGGTAAGAATTCTATCCTTTCAAGAACCTGAAGGAGAAACCTGTGCTGCCCCTATATATTCCACTCTCCCAGGGGACTCTGCCTGCCCCAGTGTCTACCAACGGATGCTTAATACTGTACTAGTGCCATGTGCTTTCACCAGCTGTGCAACCTTGGGCAACTTATTCAACCACTCTGAGCCTTGGTCTCTTCATTTGTAAACAAGCATAGTAAATACATACCACACAGCATTGTATTAGGAGTAAGTCTGATCTGTGTATAGCACTCAACACAATGCTTGGCATACAGTAATGACTCCAGAAATAATAACTATCAATAATAACTAACTTATTTCAGCCAGAAAGTAAGTTAAAAGTATTATGGCTTAAATCTACTGAAATTAAAGCAGAAGAAATGATCAATGAGGCAGCAACTACTTCCAAAGTGCCATGTCCTATCCTCTGCAACTTTACCCAATTTTCTGCCCAACTTTCCAAGTCCTGTTCCCTCAACCTTAAAATATTTTCCCATGCAGATCTCAAATCTTCATGTTATTTAGCCCAAGGGTGTAATGCAATTTTTAAAATTACAATGTTTTGTTTTATTTTCTTTTCCTCTTTATCACTTGTAGCATTTTACCCCCTCAAAAAAACCCATGTGGGAGTTAATTGACTTTTCAGGAATCCTGTGCAAAATTCTAACCTAAAACGTTCTCCTTTGTTTGTGTCTTGGTAGCAACTCTAGACTTTTCAGGATTTGGACTCTGCTTTAGAATTGTGCTTAGATTGTCTCCACAAAAGTGGTCCGTTTCCTCATCCAATGAGCTCTGCCTGCTTGTCTGTGTGACACTCCAGTGGAAGGAAGCCAAGAGCCTATAGTAGCGATCCTGGGGAATATTTCAGCAGCTGGGGCCATGTAATTTAAAACCTCTGAAAAGTGTGCTGCAGTCCGTGCACAGCATTAGTATAACGCGAGGGCTGAATGCAGCCCGTTCTCCGGAGAACTTCCTCACTCCCTGCAGCAAAGAGAAGACTGAAAGACAAACCTGGGTGCAGCCGGAGAGGTCCAGATAGATGAGCTTGTGGCATCCATTCCCCAAGTTCAGGTACTGTAAGCCTTTGTCTGTGAACCTTCTGCAATAAGCCAAACTAAGATTCTGTAAGTTGTGGAAGTGCCTGAAAAGACAAGGCAAGAAAGGGAGGAAGGAAAGTATTATACTTCAGTTGTTCTCTCAAATCTTGCTTAAGCCACTATGACAAAGAAAAGTAAAACTGTAAATCCAACTCTTCTTGCAGATGTTCAACAGTTTAACTTTACTGTTAACTCTCTACCTATTAAAGGATACTACAGTGTTATATAAGGTAACACATAATTATAATACATTTCAAGTGAAGTATTAATAATTCAATAATACTTGCCTAGAATTTTAAGAAAGTTGACTGGGATAAAGCTTTTTTAGTGTGTGTGAGGTGGGGGAGGCAATTACATTATTTGGAAGTGAAACCAAATTTGCAGAGTTTATTGTTACTTTTAGGTTTTATCTCTGGAGCACCAAAATAATGTGCAAAATATCTAGAAGGGCAAATCCTTTATAAACTTTTAAATGGAGATTAACTGTTACAGGAGAGTGAGGATTTGGGGCAGAAGGCAAAATTAAACATAACTAGGCTCTTAAAAGAGATCTGATAAATAAATGAGTTGAAAAAATAGGTTTAAATATGCATTATTTTATAAGTAACAGTTTCATTATTATAGTTAATGAAAGACTAATTGATATGCAGAGTTTAACATGAATTAAGAAGACCAGTTTGCAAATAAGTGGGCAACACATGAGAAGAATTAAAAGCAACATCAGAGACTATAAATCTCACTGGAGTTGAAACAGATTAAATATGGTATTACCACAATGACCAAAATGAGAGCTTCCAGAAAAAAGGAGGGTAGTTAGGATGAGCCCATACTACCATACGAGGGCTTGAAGTTTGAGAACACTCTGTGGACACTTTTCCAAGCCCTCCAAAGCCTGGCACTTTTTTTGTTTTCTTTTTGGAGATGGAGTTTCCCTCTTGTTGCCCAGGCTGGAGCACAATGGCGCAATCTTAGCTCACTGCAACTTCTGCCCCCAAGGTTCAAGCGATTCTCCTGCCGCAGCCTCCCTGGTAGCTGGGGTTACAAGCATGCACCACCATACCCTGCTAATTTTTGTATATTTAACAGAGACGGGGTTTCGCCATGTTGGCCAGGCTGGTCTCGAACTCCTGACCTCAGGTGATCCACCCACCTCAGCCTCCGAAAGTGCTGGGATTACAGGCATTAGCCGCTGTGCCCGGAAAGCCTAGCACTTTTTAAGAGGCCAAGGACTCCCACCACTGCCTGCTTTTCTAACGGAATTAGCAATCATGCTCTTGATTTGTAATCTGCAACAGCTTAATAGCAAATTAGAAAGCAAAAAGAAAGAAAAGTGAAGAGAAAAATGCTTCTCTGCCTCACAAAATCACACAGGTGAATGATAAAGTCTATCTTCCCATAAATGGGAAATAAGATATACAAGCATTGACCATTAGTCAGATTTTGAAAACACATCTATATGATATAATTATTTGCATTCCATAGCAAAAATTACTTGATTCGGAATACACATCCTGATCTGGGAATGGCTATGTACGTGAGATTCAACAGAATGAGGGAGAAGGCTTCGGATTCATCAGCGACAAGGTGGGCAGGGCCTGAAAGGGAAAGCAGTGCTAATATCCCAAAGACACGCCCCCTCTCTTGGGGCTGTTGAGTGGACTGAGCTGTGCTAAAGTTTTGGAAATGTATTATCTTCCCCTCCCTGAGTGTACCCTGTGATTCAACTGAGTACAATTTTCTTGGGGTGGGGGGAGGCATGCCAGGCTGTCATTTCTAACAATCTATGTGAGCTCAATAATAAAGAGATAGTGAGGTAGGCAGCATGACACGATGCAAAATACAAAAGGTTTTGGAATCTGACCAAACCCCAGTCCTGACACTTACTGCAACCTCCCTAACCTTTCAGAGCTTGTTTTCTCATTTGTTAAGTGTAGATTAAAATATTATCTTTTTTTAACGCTGATCAACTGTGGGGTCTCCAGCTTTCCTGAACCTCTCAAGTTTTCTCATCTGTAACATGGATGTAATCTGATCTGCTTATTCCCTTTAAAGGTGTGACAATTAAATGAGAACGTAGAAGTCATAGAATTATCTTGAGAGTAATTATAACAATTAAAATCAGCAGGGACATAGTAGAAGATTTAAAACAATATGTAATATTATTGCTACTACTATGTAAAATGACAACAACACATTATTTTTATGGAGTTTGTATTATTCTTCCATTTAATGAAATGGATACTTATCTCCAAGAGTGGTGCATACAATAATTCCAAGAGTTTGAGGATTTCACATTGAGTCTATACCCTGATCTATACCTGTTACTCAATTTCTTTAAATCCATGTGATCAGTTAACAAATGTTAAAAATGAAAATTGAGCTAGGTGCTCTTAACTTTGTTTTAATGTCACAGACACCTTTGGCTTTTGGCAGTCTGCTGAGGTCTATGGACTCTTTCTCAGCATATTTTTAAATGCATAAAATAAAATATATAAGATTACAAAAACAGCCAATTATATTGAAATATATAATTATCAAAATATTTTTTAAAAGAACAAATGAGTGGAATTGTAATATATGTGCCTCTTTATTAAAATATTAAATACAATCTAGTGGCAGTCCTAATAACTGCTGTGATTGTGAAGTATCAGTGATATTTTGGAATACTTATAACAACTAAAATGTAGCAAGAATATATTTGTGATTTATATGGGTGAAAATGTCCCAGAGACTGCTATTAATTCTCTAGTCTTAACCTGCATTTCAGTTACAGCTAAATGAAAATAAAGATGAGTTTTTAAAATCCCGCATTAAAATTCATGGAGCTCCTGGACTCTATCCCTGATCCTCTTGGGGGAATCCACTGCTCCTCAGCTAAGAACCTCTGGTTTAGATAAAAGAGGTTGTTCATTAGACTAAGTGACTCCTGGATTGAAAGTCTCTGGATGGCTCTTTTCACAGTGGAACGTCATGGGAACCATCAGTTTGAAAGCAAAGTTCGGGAATCTTGAGTGGCCCTGTAGGTCTTTCTAGGGATTTACGGTTCTGCAGACTTAAAGCTGCTGGGAATGGGAAAAGTGTCAGTTGACAGTGAAATCACAGGTGGCAAATTTTGTGCAATACTCATACTCTTTATTCTGAATTTTGGCAAAGATGCGTGTCCCTTATGTGACTAAAATCTGATTCATCATTTTCCAAGCCCAGAGAACACTTAGTAATTCTAATTCTGCTTTAAGGCAGTGTTTACAGCTTGTTTTTATCTTTTTCTAATTATTTGATAACTGTTTCTTATTGGGGGGGTGTGAGTTTTCTCTTTGTGATTTATTTATTTTTCTGCTACTGCTATAATCTTTAAGAAATTACAATTCTTACAGAAACTACAAAGATTATTTTTTCTCCTTTCTTTTGGCTTTTCTCTATCAAAGAATAGAAGTCATTTGTGTTAAATCTCTAACACCTGAAAGACTTGCTACTAGAATGAACAGAAGATTATGTATTTAAATAAAAATTTCTCTGAAAAAGTAACCAAGACAAAGCCTAGTCTGTAAAAGAGGGAATTTGCACGTGGATCCTCTTGAGTTGAGTGTTGGGCTCTTTGGTTTCACAGAGGTATTTCAAGTAATCAAATTCTGAAGAAAACCTAAATGGAGTGATCTGGCCTTCTATTTATAGGGTAGACCTTGAAGTTGTCCAGTCAAGGCAACCTGTCTGCCCCACTTTGATGGGCACTGGTAAGACTATAGATCATGATAGTCCCTGACAATAAGAAATTTCCAAGCCAATTGAAATGTCAATTCATCTATGTAAAAAACAATTGGATACTACTCCACTACAACATTTAAGAATCAATTAAAGAGCAAAATTCATAATGGCTTTACTCAGCACCGTATGCCCAGAAGGCTTTGCACAAACTAGTCGATCAATACATGGTGAACAAGTGAATGAATGCTGTTATTAGAATTCAAGAAAATGAAAAATCCCTGTGGACTTCTGGTAGATGGTGAGACTTAAGGTGTGAAGCCTGTGGATTAGCCTTGAGAAGGAGAAAGGCATTCCAACTATAGAGAATGTGAAGCATGTAGCAATCAGATGACTGGAGTCAAGGGTTTCTCTTGGGAAACCTAGGCAGAGAAGTTTGATTGCATAATGTTAACAGAGAGTAAGGGAAGAATCTAGATCTTAAGTGTGTCAAAGACTTGATAAGAAGGTTGTTCCAGGATGACACTTCTTGTTCCAGGATGAGACAGAGCAGACTGAAGGGAGGAAAGACCAGAGGCAGCACCACCAAGATACTGTGCCAGATGAGGTTCTGAGAGTACCACCTAGGCTGTGGCAAGAGGAATAAACAGAAAGTGTTTCATTCTGAAAACATTTAGAGGCAACAAATTTCCTGGAATGGGCATGAGCTTTGGGCAGCCCTCATTTTCAACTTTAGAAAACTGAGCAGCCGGGCCCGGTGGCTCATGCCTGTAATCCCAGCACTTTGGGAGGCTGAGGCGGGTGGATCACAAGGTCAGGAGATTGAGACCATCCTGGCCAAAATGGTGAAACCCTGTCTCTACTAAAAATACAAAAATTACTGGGCATGGTGGCACATGCCTGTAATCCCAGCTACTTGGGAGGCTGAAGCAGGAGAATCGATTGAACCAGGGAGTCAGAGGTTGCAGTGAGCCGAGATTGCGCCACTGCACTCCAGCCTGGCGATGGAATTGCAAGGCTCTGTCTCAAAAAAAAAAAACAAAAAAACAAACAAACAACAACAAAAAAAACTGAGCAAGTCCCCAAAGAAGTGAGAAAAAATATTCAAATAAAAAGTTGGCAAATCACTGTTGCCAAGGACAAACAAATTACATTTTTCTTTTGGCAAGTACTTTTTTTGGAAAGAAATCTTAAAGGCAATGAAGAGAGAATGACAGCAGCAACAACCAACATTTCTGGTTATTTACAGTTTCAAGAACATTTTTGCATATCCAAGCATATTTGAAAGAATGGAAAACAGCAAAAACAGAATCATTATGAAATGCATTTTTATCATAGATTAGTA